ATTTATCGCAAAGTTGCAGAGTTATTGGGAAAGAGCTGTTTGTCAGAAACGGCCCCTTGAGACACGATGGACTAAACAGAGACACAAGAAAGCCACGCTGTCCAAAATCCAAAGGAAAGCTTTAAGCCCAAGGGACCTTTTGGTGAGGGGCAAAATCATTTGAGAGCAGTGTCCTGCTGACAAATGCAGTGGGCAAATACTTGATTTCATTAAACTTTCTTATTGAGAAGGGTGTAGAGGAAAAGAGGGATGGAAGAGAGCTTATTTACCAAGTATCTTTGGTGCTCGTTGGCACACAGACACACATGCAGCACAAACTTTTGTGTGACAGCCATTGTGGGATAAATGACAGCAGGTTGTGTGTGTGTGTGTGTGTGTGTGTGTGTGTGTGTGTGTGTGTGTGTGTGTGTGTGTGTGCTGATGGTGAGGGGTTGTCATGGGAGGCAAGTCTGCTCAGAAATTCCTTAGAGGAATCAACTCTTGGCTTGTCCAAGTCGCGGCAACCAATTACCGCGTGTGTGTGTGTGTGTGTGTGTGTGTGTGTGTGTGTGTGTGTGTGTGTGTGTGTGTGGTAGAGAACTGAAGGGGAGGCCTTGCCATAAAATGGAGGGGACTTCTCCTAATCATCGCCCTCTGGCCCCGGACAAAGGCAAAAAGACTGCTTGGACAATTTGAATTTGAATAGCATCTCTCCTCCTGCCCTCTCCCTGCGTGTCTATTTTCCTCTTTCTCGGCCTCAACTTCATTCTGGACAACAAAAGTGGAGCCAACAAAGATAGCCCACAAAGCAATCAGGCTAATAGCGCTAATAAGTTGAGCGTGGGGTCCTCACTCTCAGTGTTGACACATTTCACTGTCTCTGTGGCTAAACAGGGACTCGAGTGTTTGGCAACCAGAAGGCATAGTATTTTAATGGAGTGTCTACCCCATGCCAGGTTGCCATGTGCTTGGTCTGTTTGAATGTAGAAGAACACAACAATGGCAACTTGGAGAAGAGGTGGGGAGAAGATAATTAACTGGTGGAGAAGCCTCAAGGGAATAGTTGGGAGGCAGGAGGCATTAGAAGGTTGAAGTTTAGTTTTTTTTCTTGTATTTGCTTTAAAAAAGTCGTTTAAAAAAGATAGCTGAGCTGAAAACATGACTGCACCATTGTTGGTCGTCGAGACATACAGTATCTTAGAGCTGTCAAGCTGGCAGAATCATGTGAAAACCCTCGGCAAGATCCGAGCTGAACCCCTCACCTGTCTGCTCCTCATGACCTGGGGACTTGTTAAGCGACTATGCATTCCTGTCTTTCAGTAATAGTCCTCCTTCCCCTTTCCGCCACTGGCCCCTCTCTTTTTTCATCCAAGAAGTCTGCTTGTTTGAACAAAGACATATTTAAGACGCTTGTAACTCTGGCTGCTGTGTGTATGTGTGTGTGTGAGTGTGTGTGTGTGCGAGTGTGTGTGTTGGATGCAGCCATTGGGACGAAAGTTTCAGTGCCCTCCCCTGTTATTAGGCCTGCCCTGTCATTATGGGATTAGTCAGTAGGGGTTGGTCTTGCATGCATGTGTGTATGTTTGTGTGCATGTGCGTGTAAGCATTTGTTTGCTTGTGAGTGATCTCCCGCAAGCCTGTTTGTGTTTCTACAGGTTTTCTCACGCATCCGGAGCACGCAGAGAAAACAAAGGTCTTCCATTTTACCCCCACAGTTGTTAAAATAATCCCAGGTGCATTTGACCTTCATCATAAATAACACTTTACTAAAGCGGTCCTCGGGTTGCTCAAACACTAAGTTGCTAATTGAATAGTCTCGATAAGCGGTGGGTGGTTGAAAAACAGTCCCTCACGCACGGTGTGCCACATCAATCAATGTGCTGTTCGAAAACACAAGTACGGGTGTCGACATCTGCGAAACGACAGGTAAAAAAAAAAAGGCCAGACCTGTAAACGAATGCAGAACAGAACCAGGTGGAAGGGTGAAGAGAGGGAGAAGAGGAATCGTTTTACTGGAATGATGAAAACGAGGTTGAAAGTAAATGGAGAAAGAAAGCGAGCACTGGGGAGATGGATTAAATGACCTGGTGCATCCCTGTCAGGAGTGCCTTCAGCATCTGCATGCTTCATTTTCAGCCTGCCTGTAGTCTATGGCAGTAAATTTGCATGTTCATTTGCCTGATTTACTCTCTTTGCTTAATTTCTGCCTCCAACCTACAATCACTCCTTCTCTCATTTGACTCTTTGAGGATTAGAGTGAGCTGAGACACGCAGAGGTAATACGACCAATGAGAAACACCTTCTTCCAACTGAGGAGGGTCTTGTAGCGTCACCATGGTAGTTTCGCCCCAAACTTGTCCTTCTGGTTTTCTTTGCGTCTATTTTTTGTCGTCTTTTCACCTCATCCCATTAGGCAACCTTCCAACGTGTTCTTAGGGGCTTTCAAAGCCGGTTTGCTTTTAAAGAGACCTAGTTTGACTCCTTCACGTGCTTCATCATCTGTGTCGTACAAGTCTGTCAGTTTCGCACTGAAAGCAGCGCCTTTATTTATGAGCACATAGCACCTCATTTTCTGGTCACTTATGGATTGAGTTTGTGCTGTTTGTCCCTTTGCCAGTGCTTCAATTTGTCGTACAATGCAACGATAAATACTGCAATACACTTGCATTACCTGATGTTGTGGGCCAAATAATTACTGTGTGCAAAGACAAATGGGTAGGCCAGAAATCCACAAGCACATGCATGCACATGCGTCTGAGAGAAAACAGCCAGGTTAGGTCGGGGTCAACCAGGGCTTTAACTCTGGCCCATTGACTCAGGATTGATGTTCCACTTTGGGCACAAAGCAGGGCTTTGCTCCCAACAGACACACACATAATTGCCCTCTGACACTGACTAACACACAGTCGAGTAGGCACACATACAGAGTCCCATTTTGGTTTAACAATGCATATGAATTGAAAAAGGAGATGTTGCAAATGCACCTGCACTCCAGAATGATCCACGGCCCAAACCACTGAGTCAGATTGCACAGGTGTGTGTGTGCATGCATGTGTGTGTGTGTGTGTGCTTTGCATATTTTTCTCGCCACACAGTTCTAGTTCTTTCAGCCTCATCTCTGTCTCCCACTCATCCTCGTCTGTCATTGTGTTTCACTGTGTTGTATTTTTTTTCTGCAAGGTCAGCTGTAATGACAAGCCACCGCTGCATACATGCGGCCTCGTTGTAATGATAAAGTCTAGGCAGTGGAGGTATATCATTTTCACCACACCGGCTTAGATACCTGCGTAGCTGTCAGTAACAAGTCCCAAATCACACACTCCCACAGTGTGAGTCGGGAAGTTCCACCGATTTTATGAGCTGACTGAGTCTCCGGGATAAAAACACTAGCAGGCTGCGAAGTGACAAAACTGGCTACAGCTCGTTTGCAAAGAGGAAAATGGGCGATGGCGAAATTGATTCAGGGATTGTTTTAAAGCATTCAACACCATTAGCAAAGGAGGAATAATAAATAACAGCAGAAAGGGGGATTGGGCTCCTGCAGTTTTCTGTTCACAGATCCAGAGTTCTCACTGCGTCAGCTGGCTCAGGATACACAAATTCAGCGCGTTTTGCTTAAGGGGACCCCATGAGATTGCATCTGAAGGTGTCTGCCTTTGGTTGGAGCATTCTTGGACATAATATATGTATATTTTACCAGTGTAATATGCATGTCAGACACACTGTCACTCACAGGATGTTGGTTAGAAGTCTCCCTGGGGCAGCATGCTGTAGTTAGTCATAATTCATGAGACGTTTGGCCGTTAGCATATGTCAGAGCCAGGGTTCCTGAATGCAACAGTGCAGCACAGATCTAGAGACATGATGGTAAAATGCATTATTTTTTCTCAAGTTTGATTTTTCTTCAGGTGAAAAACAATTCTGGAAAAAAAGGGAGCGCTATGGCGTCTTTAGACTGATCAATTGATGTCCACGCAGAAAGACAGACCTTGAACCTCCGTCAGTGAAAATACGTTGCTATCTGGCCGTCTTGTTTCATCATCTTTACTATCATGTAGAACAGTGCAGCGGCTGAGATAATAACCGTGGCTGCGCCCGAAGCACCAGGTAGTAAAAGAGCCAACATTTATAGTCTTCCTTCCCTTCTCTAACAGCGCCAGTTTCTTTGCCAGCGGAAACAAGACGGTGGAAAACCGACTGGAAAGAAAAAAGATATGCAGGGGAGGTTCCTGTCCACCATTTTGTCTTCATTCCCTTTTATGTTTGTGTGTTTCTCCTGTGTGCCAACAAATAGGTGTAAAAAGGGTGCTTAACTGAAAGTGTGTTGGTTATTCTCACAACCGAATGGAGCTTTCTGACCTCACAAGCTTCTCCTTTGTGGCTCCTAACTTTACGACCCCTTTCTCCTTTCAAGCCTTCTGTTGGGTTGTATATCTTTTGGAGTTTTACAACATGCAATTCACTGTACACGTGCATGTGTGTGTGTGTGTGTGTGTGTGTGTGTGTGTGTGTGTGTGTGTGTGTGTGTGTGTGTGTGTGTGTGTGTGTGTGTGTGTGTGTGTGTGTGTGTGTGTGTGTCAGTGCCCTGTGGGAAGTGGAGCAGCTTTGCCACTGTTGTCCTAACCTTGTTCAAAACAAGCACCCAAAATGACACTAATTGGCCAAATGAGGAACCGCAATAAAATTTAACACACCACTTCACCAATAGCCAGCTTCTATTTCTGTCTTTCTTCCGCCTTATTCCAGATTTTCTGTCACGCATGCAAACGCACGCACTCCCGCTCATACAGTGCCTCTTTGTCTAACTGAATTTAATATCGCTCAAAGCCTGTCCCAGCAGTTCAGTTATTCACCGCGTTATCTGAGAACAGCTTTGGTCAAAGGCTTTTTATCCGTTCCTTGGATCATTTTACAAGTTTTATGACATTGTTGTAAAACCATTGAAAGTTCTATTGACCTCTCCTGCCACCCTGTTTGCCTTTTGTCTGACCTGGATGTTTTCTTTCTGCCTCCGTTTACAGAGACGCTGATGGACACCAAGTGGGCCACTACAGAATTAGCGTGGACTGCACACCCTGAGACTGGAGTGAGTTTAATGACTTTTTGTGTGTCAATTTGTATTTAAAATGGGCAAAAATGAAAACAGATGCTGTTCAAAGAATCAAAAACTCAGATGTGATTGCTACTTCATAGCCGGAACACCTAATTTGAAAATCACCCACGAGGACATGTTAATATTCATCAGGTTGTGCTTTTTAGAGTGGCATAAGATCCACTGCGGTCTAATTTTGGCTCTCCACCCAGTAACAGATGTTTCTTTCTCTCTGCACCAGTGCACATTAAACATGTGCTATAAAGTAACCTTTAAAACACTAAAATATCTCTCAGCGTTGACAGTTTACCCATCTGTGCACCCAAATTTACCTCACACTAAGTCCCAAAGACGGCCTCTTCTTGGTTTCCCATGTGGTCCTCACAATGGGCCAAAGAGGAGCAAAGAGTCTTGACCCCTCCTCAGCTATACTTCAAAATGCCAGCACTCCTCCCCTTGCTTTTGTGTGGTCCTCACACTTGGAGTTTGTGTTTTGAAAGGTGGGCCCCAGTTTTTGTTTTCTAATATATTTTGTTGTTGCCCCCCCGGCAGTGACATACTGTCATAGCTGTTCGTAGTCACCCATCCTCCCTAGTCTGCCTTTTCTTCACTTCCAATGGTGACTGACGGAGCCGGACACATTAGCAACCTCAGCCATAAACAATCAGAGGCCAAATTCCCTCACAATCTGGCATGACCTCTTTCTTCCCCCACCCCCATCTCTATCTTCCCACTTCCCTTCACTTATTAACCTACATTGCAGCAGCAATGCTCCCACCGGTTCCTCGTAGATGCTGAAATCATAAAACACGCCCGTTAAGCCCGTGAAGCACAACCTGCAACAGATGCTTCTTTGCACTAGATGCATAAAACTGACAAACCTTTTGCAATACAAATTCCCTCAAAATACCAAGCAATCAAGAACATATTTTGTTTCCTTTTTATGTAAGCAAAATGTGCCACAGACAGGAATGGTGCTCCTTCTGCTATCTCTTTATCTTTTTTATTTCCTTCCTCTGAGTTTTTATACATAAATGCACCCAAAAAAAGTAGAAGAAAAGACGAAAAAGCTCAATCACCGTTCCCGTTATCTGGTTTCTGGTTTTGTGTGCACTGTGGTCATTTGTTTGTGTGCTTTAGCAGTCTTGCAAAGTGAATGACGTGGACTGTTTTTGTTATGGGTGACGGGTGTTTAAGAGGGAGCAATACAGACAAACAAAACAACCAGAGCAAGCTCGAAGGGAAGAAGAACCGCAAGACTCAGATTAAGTAAATTATTTTTAGGAGCCCATGTGGCTAAAAGGAGCTAGAAAAAGATATTTATGTAGGAAAAATAAATCTACCGAAACTAATATATCTCTAAAACATTTGGGCGACGGTGGCACAGGAGTTAAGTGTTTGCCCCGTAATCAAAAGGTTGCAGGTTCGATCCCCGCTCAGTCTGTCACTGTTGTTGTATCCTTGGGCAAGACACTTAACCCCCCTCAGAAGGACCAGTGGCACCTGTATACGTCAGACTCGCCTCTGTCAGCGTGCCCCACGGCAGCTGTGGCTATACGTAGTTCATCACCACCAGTGTGTGAATGGATGAATGACTGTGTTGTAAAGCGCCGTGGGGGCTTTATCCCAGGAATCTAGAAGGCGCTATATCAAATACAGGCTATTCTGAATTTTAACATCCCCTTAGCTTTATAATTAGAGCTTCAAGAAAAAACAAACATAACTACAGAAAGTACCTTTTCAGCACTCGTTTGACTTTTTTTTGTTTTTTTTGTTTACATGGTTTGAGGTATAAATCTGTTCACAGCTATTCTACAGTGTACTTTTTGTTTGGCTTAATTCTCTGTGGGTATGTTCATAAATCACATCCTTTAGGTTTCCCAAACCATCTGGGAGATGAAGGGGACTTTCCTCTTGTTAGATTTGGAACAACACCCCCTCGGGCTTTTTACAATCATACAACAATTTACCATGAATGACTTGTGGAAACACTGTAATGACTTGTTATGCATTGTTCAGTGTGCTTCATTGACCACCAGCATGAGTAAACGAGTTTAACAAAAACAGTAATAACCCTTATTGAATGAATTTAATGAATTGGGGGGAAAACACTTTACTGCTAAAAGATGGCCAGGAAACTTGTTTTTATTTATCTTTCATCAACGTAAAAGTTACTCAGGTCAGATCAAATCAAAATCTACATGAATGCTTAATTTAAAGCAGCAATGGCTAATTTGGAAAACAAATTAGCTTAGAACATTTTTTTGTGCCTTTTAACAAAGTTCTAGTATAAATATAGATATACTGTGGAGATTTAGAAAAAGAATAAAGTGGTTCTCTTGCATTTGACGTCCGGCTATAACACTTTTTGGACCGAAAGCAACTTTTGGATCATCTTGTTGTTGGTCTTGTCAAACCACCGCACTTCTGCACTTCCCTGTTTCCTCTATTCATTACATACTCTCGGATTTTGCAACAGAACATCGCCGGTGTGAGAGGTTCTCCGCTGAATAATATCAGAGAAGGAGAAACAGACAGCTGCTACCACTTCAACTTTAGGACAAACTACCAGAGTCCCCCCCCCCCCCCCCCCCTCCCCACCCCCCAAAAAAACAACTCCATTTGAGAACATCATCATTGTCTGTGAGGCACTCTAAGTCTTTATGTCCAAAACACCAGTAAATCTCTAATCTCTATCCAAGCAATGCCTGCCTGTAAAATCTGATCATCAATTATTAATGTGTCACTGCTTTGTTAACCAAGTCCTTAATATGGCTTTCTGTGGCCTTTCCGTGGCATTGTTAAGCTACATAAACCTCAGAAATTCTTATTAAACAGTATTTGTTACAACAACTAAGAATTATAACGCAGCTTCTGATGGTCTGGATCGAGGTCCGAGCTGTGCAGCGGTTAAAATCTCCGTAGAAGCCTCAAGCCAGATCGCTAGTCAACGTGGTGCTTTCAGCATCTCTTCAAACAGTGAGATACAACATTTAGCTTAATGTTAAAAGTTCTCAGATAACCAATCCATTCTTACATGAAGACATCCTAAATTATGCCCAGGTTTCTCTGTTCCTCTAAAGAAATTTCCACAATTTAGTGTTAACATGAAACAACTGGGTTGTAGATAATTATAAGTTCACATATTTTTACTGCCACTCAGCAAACGCTCCCTAAGATCTGAAATCATATAAATACAGCAGTAATGAGTCAGGAGGGTAGTGTATGAAGCTCCACAAGGTAAAGTTAATGTTGCTATATCTAAAGGTAGTAATTTACCATTTGAGGCAACATTAGAAAAGCTATTAATTTAAAAACTGAGCAGCTAAAGTTATTTTATTAACCTGCACGGGGATATGCTCATTGGTCTGCATAAGTGGCTCTTTGCACATTTGTTTGCAAACTAAGCTAACACTGAGAGCTCCACTCATGCAGCTGGATCTGAAATCGTTTTACAAGCGCAGGGACACAATATTCCAAAGAATATCAAAAACTCTCAAAAGGTCATTTGGCGTTTCACTATCTGTGCCTCTCCGTTTCAAATTCACCATCTGAGTTTGTTCCAAATCTCGATAGATTTGCCAAAATGTTGCAAAACATATTTTTCCAGCTGCATTGTGGACCTTCGAGGAGTGGCATAGTGCACGAAGATATTGTTCATTGTAATCGTAAAGTAGAATTCAGAGTTGTGATTGGAAGGGACACAAAGAAAATACAGGGGATTGCCAAATTCTGCACAACAACTCATCTCCCTGCAAATCAATGCCAAGAATGTTGAGGCTTTTTCACTAAACTTCCCTAATTTATTCAGACTTGGTAAGCAGGCACTTTGAGTGTTTGCCCACCGGTGCATGTCTCAAAGGGGGGCGTGACCTCTCTCTAAATGCACACGTACAGCCACACTCAACAAACACACCATGCAAGTGCAAACTCAGACCCACAGGCAGGCTCGCACTAGCACTTTAAACAAACACACCCAATTTTATCCACACTCTCACAAACACTTGGCTGCATTGCTGTTTTGCAGACAGTGATTTATTACACTAAACTAAAGACCCATTGACACTTCATGCTTTTAGCCATCCCATTGACCTGGCTGGTGATTATTGATTCCCCCCGGTCGCTTCTTCGTTCTCTAGCTATCGTTTTAATGTCACTGCCGAACTGCACCCATTCTCCTTCTCACTGACTCGTTGGCACGAGGGTCTTGGATGAATTGCCTTGTCTCCACCGCATCCATATTACAGCCTTAATTAAGATGCTTGGAGCTCGAATGGAAACAACACGCTCTGAGGATCACATTCGTGCCTATTTACAAGTTTTGAGATAAGTTTAGCAAAAGTTAATTGTTCTGTGGAAAATTCAATCCCAAATTGTTACTTTGCCATAGGCATGTCAGGGGATTTAAACCCTTTGTATAATGGTGTTTTGGAGAAACAGAACTGATTAAAAAGACCATCGTGTAAGTAAATGCCCATGTGTATGTGAGCTACGCAGTGGTTAGGGGATTTCTAAGAAGTTTTATCCAAAACTGTATACTTTGATCCTTTTGTTTAGCTCAAGCTTTTTCCTCATTGTCCTTCAAATTCTTTGATGCATGTTCATGCATTGTGCAAAACACTTGGATGTGTGTTTTAATTTGGAATTTTCCATGCAAATAAGCCAGCTAGATTTAGCTAAGAAAATCAATGTGCTTGAATACTTGCAAAGAAGAAGAGTGGGGTACCGTATCCCCAGCTGTTCACACAGACATCTATCAATGAGGATTTTTGTTTTAGGACAAAATTATTTAACTGCAGTGTCCAATATATGAATTTAAAAAGCAGAATCACTGAGAAATATTTTTGTTATTAAATTAGAAAATGGTCGGTCATTGAGTTTCACTTATAGGCTGAACGTGAAAATAGTCGTCTACTCTTATTTCCTGCATTAGCTTCTGATAGAAAATAAATAGAAAAACGCTCAGTTCAGAAAAGAAAGACAGTATGACATCACACTGTCACTTAACATTTGTGGACTCACCCATTTTGGTTCGCAACGAGGAAGGCTGTTCTTGGTTAAGTGGTCAGAAAACAGCTAATAGAAGCTAACCGTTAGCATTAGCAACTCCATCACACAGCAGAACTCCTCCAGGCTTGTGTTATTTGAGGAGATCAACACTGCAGAACAAACAGTCAGTGGTAGAGCTGCATTGCTGCTAACCAGTCAAAAGCAAGATGTCCAATAATCATGACCTAAGCCTCCAGATCCTGCCGTTTCGTGCTACGTTCTCTTCTGGCTTACTTCTACTTCCTCAAACAGGTGCATCAGAGTTTATTTGTCCCCAGAGATCAACTTTCAAGGCATTTGTTCTTACAAAAGACCACTGCAAATGTATTAAAAATATGAGTAAAGCTGATCCTAAATGCAGGTCAAATTTGGTGATTTTTAAAAAAAAATCTTTGCTAAATCAATGCACGGGTATTGTAGCAGCACTGAAATGTATGGAGGTTTGTGGAAACAAACAAAAAATGCATGAAGGTTATGTGGCTCCATTTTGCAGCCTGTATTAAAGGACGTTACAGTCATTGCTCGATAATTGAAGCGTAATTGGTTGTGAAGCAACGTGGCTGCTACTTTCAAGCAGATATGAGGTAAACATGCTGTGGTGGTTCTGTAGCGAGGAGGTGACAGGTTGCTATAATTGTGATAAATTTGCCGTCCTTGTCCCTGGCTTTTTGCCACTCTAATCACAGATGAAAGCCACATTATAGTAAAAGGAAGTGAGTTGAAGTGAAATAATGGCCAACAAAAAGCCTGCTTCTTTCAGTCATGGTCTCAACCTCTGCACTGGTACTTCCACTATTTGCTTTTTATGTCGTATTAATTAATGTGTGTCATGAAAGTTAGATGCAATAGCTTCACAAATCAAAGTGATTATCTCTCAAACGCATCACGATGCAGGCACTGTCAATTATTTTCAATGCCTTTTTTCTGCTTTCTCACACAGTGGGAAGAGGTAAGCGGCTATGATGATGCCATGAATCCTATCCGGACGTATCAAGTCTGCAACGTACGGGAGCTCAATCAGAATAACTGGCTGCGCAGTGACTTCATCCCACGAAAAGATGTACTGCGTGTTTACGTAGAAATGAAATTCACAGTACGTGACTGCAACAGTATTCCCAACATACCAGGTTCCTGCAAAGAGACATTCAACCTCTTCTACTATGAGTCAGACTCTGACTCAGCAACAGCCACTAGCCCGTTCTGGATGGAGAACCCTTACGTAAAAGTGGACACCATTGCTCCAGATGATAGCTTCTCCACGCTTGAGGAAGGGAGAGTGAACACAAAAGTTCGAAGTTTTGGGCCATTGTCAAAAGCTGGGTTCTACCTGGCCTTCCAGGACCTTGGTGCTTGCATGTCCCTTATCTCAGTGAGGGTGTTTTACAAGAAGTGCTCCACCACTATTGCCAACTTTGCGGTATTCCCAGAAACTGCAACTGGAGCTGAGGCAACCTCTTTGGTTATTGCACCAGGTACTTGTGTGCCCAATGCCGTGGAGGCGTCAGTGCCATTGAAGCTCTACTGCAATGGAGATGGAGAATGGATGGTTCCAGTAGGAGCCTGCACATGTGCTGCTGGTTTTGAACCAGCCATGAAGGATACCCAATGCCAAGGTGAGTCTTTTCGTAACAAGTAATTTACTTGGTACCGGATTCTATCTCATTGTTGGTGGCGGTGTCTTAAAACCATTCGATTTTTGTTGCAGTGGTGAATCGACATGTTCTACATTCTTTACTGGTTTCATATATTTCAGACTCTTCCTAATGAACAGTGATGGTTTCATGCAAAGCCTTTCTCTGATGTAAGGGTTTCTTCATCCATAGCCCTTTTGGACATGATTATTAGAAAGACTGGGTTTGTGTTATTTTGGCCTCCAATTTATTGCTAGAATGTCCAGCTGGTATTTTATTATCAGTCAAGTCATTACCCATGCATTTGGAACATTAATCAACACATACCCAAACCAGAACAAACACATTTGATGGCCCTGTCAGCTGGAGGCTTTTTACTTCATTGACCTCCATTTGGCCATGCAGCTGGGTGCTAACAAAGAAAAATTCAGTTAGGGCTCCCTGCTTATGAAAGTTCAGACGTGATGGAAAACGAGACATGTTGGCAGAACCAGTGATGAAAGTGAATTTTAGGCTCAGCTGAACTGGTGTGCAGAAGACAGCGGGAGAAGAATTAAGGATAAATGGAAGCTGTGTGTGTGTGTGTGTGTGTGTTGAGGAGTATGAGGCCGTAAAATTGGGCTCAGGGTGTGTAGGTCAAAAGGAGGCAGTGGAATGAGTGAGTGAGAGACAGCGGCTGGTGGTGTTATTGATCAGCAGGGGTTGATTGCATGGTGTCTTTGCATGTTCGCTTTGTGGGGGTTTGTTTATCATCCTTGGCTGCTTGGGTTCAGAGGGATCATTCTTCTTCCAACAGCAGAGATGGATGAGGCTAAGAGGACCATTTCTTCTACACCTGTATTTTTGATCAGACAGAGAACAAGTGGACCCTTTGCACAGACAGCCTCCACAAAACTCATGATTCTGAACACAAATTTTAAAAGTGAGTGCTTGTGTAAGAAAAAGGACAAGTGCAAAACATCATATGTAAACTTAAAATCTCATTTGTTTGCATCTGGCAGCTCAAGGTTAAAGCGGTGGTGACGAGGCCCTGATAAAATATACTCTAATCACTGGAAAGCACATAGGATAAATCTTCCTCTTTTCCCCCTCGTTTCTTCTCAGGTCTGCTTTCTTCCCTCCTCCTCTTCCACCTCTTACTTTGCACTATTTTCACATCATTTCATCTCTTTCTCTTCTTTTCTGTTCTTATTCCAATAAGCAGCGTCTCTTTTTCTCCGCGCTACTCGTTGCTTCTCTCATTCCCTCTTAATCTGAAGGCCGTAGCACTCATTAATAAGCCACCAGAGATACAGTTGGGATGTCAGCATTAATATTAATCGATGAGCCCTTTTTTCACCTCTCCACTCATTTGCTGCACATTTTTCACCCCCCCCCAAAATTCTTTACTTTTTCATGCCTCACACTTTCCAATTTCAGCATACATTCTAATCAGTTCCTTAAGCTCTGTGTTCTGCATGAGAGGATAAGACACAGGGGACCGAGGAAGAGGGTGGGCGTGGGGGCTCCTACCGGATTAGCATTTTCTGTGCTTCCACCTTTTTTCTCTACCCCTTGTCTGTCTTTCTGCCTCATTCTTTAATGGTTCCTCCACGAGAAAAGTGGATGAAAGGAGGAGGATGGCCCCTTTTCTCACTGGAAGTGATTGATCAGCACTTTCAACCTTTTTCCTGAAAAAGAAAAATAGCCTCTTTTAATGGAAATGTACCCTCAACATCTGTAGTTGGGCCAACATGTTGAAAAAAACTATTTTTCATTCCCCGTGAGTTAAGAAACTTATTTTAGTTTACTTTGTGTAGCGTGAACTTAAATGAACTTGCCTGGGTCACACCAGTCGAAAAGGCTGTTCCATCACCCGATACAACTGGAGGTGATTTCTTATCTGTTTATCAAGCAGCACTTCCTGTTAGCCAGCAGTGAGGATGGCTCTGATTAATGGTGGAAGAACAAATACACTTAGCACTTGTGTACACAGTGCAGGGAGCCGGTGGCTCTGAGCTAATGATAAAGCTTTAAAACAAGGGAACAACAGGAGCAGTCTGTTGTTCACGGGCTGTGCTGTAGGTTTGACCTCCAGTTTGAGATTTCTTTTTTTCAACAGGGAATGTAAATCCTGCACAGATGCTGAAAGACGATGATCAAACCATGTCGTCTGTCCTTGAGCGTGACAGTCCACCACACTAATCAGCCGTCCCTAGTTAACTTGTCCGGCCTTACCTGCTGTCGTCTTTTTATTAAGCACCGCTGCAAACTCATTCATCTTTTAACAAGATGGAAATATACAGAGCTTGCCAAAGTGTTTGGATTGCAGATCTGCAGTTACTGTTATCCTGCATGTCTGTAACTTATCACTAGAGTTATAAACTCCCAAACAGCTGCTATAAATGGAGATGTTTTTTTTTAAGTGTAATGGTCTCTTCCTGTGATTCACGAAGCACCGTTTAATCAAGAACCAGTTAAGGTGAAACTATGTTTCTTTCCCTGGACAGGTGATCTTAAAGGTGTGGAACACTGAAAAAACATGTTTTAATGATTATTTCTGATTATAATGGGTGACTCAGAGTTTTTCATGCAGGCTGAACGTGAAAACAGTCTCTTACACCTATCTCCTAGATTAGCTTCTGATAGAAAACAGAGGGTGAAGCTCTAGGATTAGAAAAGCCTGGCAGAGCTGTGTCGCACTGTCATGTAACATGCATGCACTCACCCATCTTGACTGGCAGCGAGTAAGACTGATGTTGGTTTAGCGTCCAGGAAACAGCGGAGAACGTCTCGATTAGTGGAAGCTAACTGTTAGCATTAGCAACTCCACATGACAGCAGAACTCCTCCAGGGTTGCATTATTTGTGGATAAAGCATCAATGTTGCAGAACAAACCAAGTCAGTGGTAGAGTCATGTTACTGTTGTCCAATCTGAGGCAAGATGTCCAGATATCAGCAAATAAGACTCCAAACCTGTGTTTAAAGACTTTTGAGTTTAGGAAAGAGTCAGTCATCATTTTAACGGTCTTAGGTGTTGACATCCTCCTTAGATAAGCATAGTGTTTTACAAACAGCTTAAAACTGCATGGAAATTCTTCATTGTGTTAATGATAAAATCACTGGAACAAACAATAGAGTGCATCGAGAGCTGAAGATGCACAGTGCTGGTATATGTGTGCCCTGTACCATCAATACAGTGATATTTGTGGCAAATGTACCTGATTTGCAATAGAATGAAGTCAATAACATTTTGTCAAATTGTAGATGCATTTAACAGCAGATCAGTTCAATATTTTAAACTGTTGTTCACGCTTTACTTCATATCTTTTACGTTCAGCTTGCAGCCCAGGCACCTTCAAGTCAAAGCAAGGAGAAGGTCCCTGTTTTCCCTGCCCTCCCAACAGCCGAGCAACCTCGGGAGCAGCTAGCATTTGCTCCTGTCGAAATGGTTATTACCGCTCTGACACAGACTCGTCAGACTCCCCCTGCACAAGTAAGTGAGGCTTTACTTTTGAAAATCATTCATCCGTTTTTGTTTAAAACAGAAACTGGTTCCTAAATACCTTATTTAATTCAAAATCAAGTTAGTTATCAGTCAGAAAATAACATTTTGACACTGTGAAAGTTCTCCCAACCTCCCTGTGAATTGTGCCATCAAAGGCTGATAAGAAAATGGTTCAAGAACAACATTCCCACCGTGTCTCACATTTAGCAAACAAGGCTGCTTACTTTCTCAGCATTACCCAAACTTTATCAACCTAACACTTCCCCGCCTATCTCTCTGTGAAGTCTCTCTGCTCCAGCCCCTCTACTGGCAGAAAGCAAAGAAACACTATCAGTACCTTCATTAATAGCAAACATGCAGACATAGGAGCAGATTCATTCAAAATGTAAAGACGGAACAAGATCCTTTTGATTTTTTGCTGCCAGAGTCGGGGTCCGATTCTCCCATAGCGCAGTGCAAGATAAGGTTCTGTTAATTGGATAAGAATTGCCAAGGCTCTGCCAATAGTTTGTCTTACCCATTCCCTGCAGCACTTCACACACACACACACACACACACACACACACACACACACACACACACACACACACACACACACACACACACACACACACACACACACACACACACACACACACAGACACACACACACACACACACACAGTGGAAATAAGCATGCAATTCAAATTTAAACGTGTGCCCTCTTTTTGACTGAAGAACTGCTGGAACAGTCTCTCGCTATGTGAGGAGAATAAAATATTCGAGTTAATTCAGGGGAAATGGACTAATACCACAACACAAAGGGAATTACTGGGTCATGAATTGTGCTAAAATCAGCAATGGAGTGATGAATACATGCATTCCCAGTTTAATGATATGTAAACTGTGTTTTTCAATATGACTCTTTGTCTGTTGTCAAGGTGTCTCTGTACTGTCACCAAGACAATTTTTCGCACCTATTGTGCACAGAGATTAAATTCTATCTCATTTCCTACCCATTCTCCTCGTCTCATCCACACTTTTGCCTCTCGTTTGCAGCCGTTCCATCTGCCCCGCGAAACGTCATCTCCATTGTCAACGAAACTTCGCTGGTGCTGGAATGGAGTGAGCCTCGAGACTCGGGCAGCCGTGAGGACACCTTCTATAATGTCATCTGTAAGAAGTGCCTGCCTGAGCGAGGGATGTGCTCACGGTGCGATGACAACGTGGACATTTCACCACGTCACCTGGGACTGACACAGCGCCGCGTGACAGTCCGTAACCTGCAGGCCCACACGCAGTACAGCTTCGAAATACAAGCAGTCAATGGCGTTTCCAACAAGAGCCCCTATACACCTCAGTTCTCCGCAGTGAACATCACTACAAATCAGGCCGGTAGGTACAGCGGCTGCTTTGCTGCTGCCTGTCAGAGATCAATATTGAACTTCTGGGCAATCTTGACTGTCAGAGCCTGGAAGAAAGATACACAGAATGTCAGACAAAACTCTCTGGGCTGAAGAAGTAGAGATCAATTCCTAGTGTGCAAGTAGGGGTGTTACATATCCCTTTGAACAAGGAAGACATTTTTGAATGAGCATCTTTTTTTCACACACCCACACAGTGCTCTCTACTAACATTGCTGCAAATAGAAATAGCAAGGCAAGGTGGTAAACCTTCAGTGCTGCCTACTGGTTCCAACCCACTGATCCTTCAGCTCTCCGCAGCAGCAGTAAATATGTACTCATATATGGTGCTGTACCAAAGTAAATAATTTTGCATATAAAAGATAGAAACGGACATCTCCATTGATGGGTGTATTGATGGGAGTTTTGTGTACGTAACTTTAGTGCAGTTACTTGGTATTTTGGGGAGTTTGTGGATTCAGAGCGCCTTAAATGACCTCAATAAAGCTCAAATGTGAAGCTTATGCTGACCAGAGGAGGTGGTCTCTTTGTTCATTCTCCCGGGCCTCTTAAGTTTGTGTCTTGGACGTGTTTAGCTGCTATGTTAAATTTGCTTTCTCACTCGGCTCAGACAGCAGCCTTCCTCCTCCCCCATCTTCTCTCTCTGTGGCCTTCACCTCACCGCTAACCTTGTGTGCATGCTTTTTTTAAAAGATGCATTTGAAATGCCTGTTCTTTGTGGATCTAGGACCCAAAGGCCCCACAGGCCTCCATGTGAAGGCCTCATTGTTTTACAAAGGGGTCTGGCGCTGCTCTGATAGGGATGCATGTCCACCCATAGCTGCACGGTGTCAGCTGGGTGCAGCGGGAGCAACAGAAGGACAGGACAGGGCAAGAGAGCATCGACTGTGATCAGATTATCCATTTGTGTAGTCCCACGGCTATCCCTGCATGCACATTCACCTTTTAAGAACCAAAACAAATACTAAGGGTGGTGATAAGCTGCAGAGGCCACCACCATGGTTACTGCAACATCTTCTCCCAGAGGAGGGCCCCTAATCCCTTGGCTAGAGTAACCAAGGGCTCTGCCTAGGAAGTATTGTCATCTGCAGGAGAAAGAGAGACATGAGGAGATGAAATGAATGGGGGTGGCTAGGGAGGGTAAGACTTAGCGATGTAGATTTTTAAGGAATCAAAGAAAGACAGAAATAGAAGGAAGTCTGGTGTGAAACTTAGATTGGTAGAAAAATGTGAGTTTTGGAAACTTGATGAATTTATGTTGTTTAACGGAAACCCATAACATTCTTTCTGAAGTCAAGATGCCACTGGAGAAGGGAAGGGGACGTTACGAGACAAAGCAGTAGACATAGAGGGGAGTGAGTGAGAGGGACAGAACAAGACAGGACTTTGAAAATAGGAAGGGAGTCGGGTAGGCAGACGGCACATAGTTGTTAAAAGACATATGTGAACAAAGCATGGAAACCTCCAGTGGGTATAGATCCACACTTGAATGGAATGTCCACAAACTGATTCAATTGTATATGTGTGAGCAAAATAATCTTCGTTTCTTTCTTACATCTTGTTACAGACGTGTTGATGTGCAACAAAAACACACATCCGAACCGCGGTGTTGTACGTTTAGCTAGGCTTTGCCTGGTTTATGACAGGTAGTGTCTGGCTATGCCAGAAACGTTTCATCTGTGATGTCTGATTCTCATGGCGTCACAGGAGAATCTCCTTTACTTCCTCTGGTTCTCTGTGAGAGAAAGTCTCAGCATTACTAGGGAGTGGTTCTGCATACTAACTAATGGCCACAGCTTTTCACAAAGCTCGTGGCTTTAGACTTTGTGTTTGGCTTTCTGTGAACCACAAAGAGCATAGAACTTCAAAAGACGTAACAAATACAACCACACACACACACACACACACACACACACACACACACACACACACACACACACACACACACAGACACACACACGTGCGCGCGCGAAAAGATGAATAAACTAGTTTGTGTTGATTGTGTTTGTTCCTTGGGTAGCTCCGTCTGCAGTGCCCACAGTCCACCTAATGGCGGCCTCAGCGAGCACCATGAGCCTGTCCTGGCTCCCTCCAGAAAAACCCAACGGAATCATTCTGGATTATGAGATTAAGTACCATGAGAAGGTAAGCATCAGTGAATGCCTCTAATTCAATCCAATTTCATTGACTAGCATGGCCTCTGTTTCATCTGTCTCTGTAAATACAGAAACAATGCCTCTGCTGATAAGCACATGGTACTGTTGAGGCACACCACCACTTCCATTCTTTTGCAAGCATTCTCCTCAACTGGTTTCCTCCCTTTCATCGCTTAATTCCTTCTTTTTACTTCTTCCAATCCTTTCACAAATTATTATTCTCTGCCATTTTCTAAATTTCTCTTGCCCTCATTCTTTTCTTCTTCCGCTCAGTCCATCTTTGTTTCTAAAAGCACAGGACCTTTTGTTGACCAGTGGTTTATATGCTAGTTTGAGTCGTGTGCTAGAGCCATTTTTAAGTTTGCTCAAAACAGTAACTGATTAGATTTGTCGGTTACTTGTGCTTCAAATTGACAGCGCGTCTAGAGTAATTCTTTATTACTTTCTCCTAAATTACAAAGACCACATGCTACATCGATTCTAAACTTTTAAAAATGGTGCTTTACAGATTTTAGTTGACCATCTTTAGTTCATGTAAGAATTTTCTAGCTTGGCAAACCATCTTATACATGTGTGATTGTATAGTCTGGCCACGGCTCATAGACAGATCTAAGTCAAGTGGCACAATCTACGGTTATCTTTCAAACTGCCTCTGCATGCTATTGGATAATGAACAAAGTGATGTACTCACCTCTACGTTTGTCAGTCAACAGGGAAGTTCGCCACCCACTGTTGATGAAAATGCTAATACATCTTTTTTTGTCAATAAAGGACACAAATAAGTACCACCATCTGCTCTTGACTGAAAGAAAAGCCATTTCAAAGAGTCATTTCAAACAAGCTGTCACCATCTTAGTTGTTCCGCTCCATTGCATCATTCTGCCCACCAAACCAGTATAGCACAATGACTAGTGTAACTCAAAACTGCTCAGGCCAATTGTAGACCTGCTGAGACTCCTATGGTGCGTGGCTAGACCAACCTGCAAGTCTAAATTTCTAGGCTAAAAGTTGTTTTGAGCTGAGTCACATGCAGGTCCTTCTAAAAAAGTTAGCATATTGTGATAAAGTTCATTATTTCTGTAATGTACTGATAAACATTAGACTTCCATATATATATATTACATTCATTACACACGACTGAAATAGTTCAAGCCTTTTATTGTTTCTAATATTGATGATTTTTGCATACAGCTCATGAAAACACAAAATTCTTATCTAAAAAATTAGCATATCATGAATATCATGAAAAGACTGCCGACCTGACTGCTGTCCGGAAGGCCATCATTGACACCCTCAAGCAAGAGGGCAAGACACAGAAAGAAATTTCTGAACAAATAGGCTGTTCTCAGAGTGCTGTATCAAGGCACCTTAGTGGGAAGTCTGTGGGAAGGAAAAGGTGTGACAGAAAACGCTGCACAACGATAAGAGGTGACCGGACCCTGAGGAAGATTGTGGAGAAGGACCGATTCCAGACCTTGGGGGACCTGCGGAAGCAGTGGACTGAGTCTGGAGTAGAAACATTCTGAGCCACCGTGTACAGGCGTGTGCAGGAAATGGGCTACAGGTGCTGCATTCCCCAGGTCAAGCCACTTTTGAACCAGAAACAGCGGCAGATGGGCTACAGAGAAGCAGCACTGGACTGTTGCTCAGTAGTCCAAAGTACTTTTTTCGGATGAAAGCAAATTTTGCATGTCATTCGGACATCAAGGTGCCAGAGTCTGGAGGAAGGCTGGGTAGAGGGAAATGCCAAAATGCTTAAAGTCCAGTGTCAAGTACCCACAGTCAGTGATGGTCTGGAGTGCCATGTCAGCTGCTGGTGTTAGTCCACTGTGTTTTATCAAGGGCAGGGTCAGTGCAGCTAGCTATCAGGAGATTTTGGAGCACTTCATGCTTCCATCTGTTGAAAAGCTTTATGGAGACGAAGATTTCATTTTTCAGCACAACCTGGCACCTGCACACAGTGCCAAAACCACTGGTAAATGGTTTACTGACCATGGTATTACTGTGCTCAATTGGCCTGCCAACTCTCCTGACCTGAACCCCAAAGAGAATCTGTGGGATATTGTGAAGAGAAAGTTGAGATAACACAAGACCAAACACTCTGGATGAGCTTAAGGCCACTATCAAAACATCCTGGGGCTCCATAACACCTCAGCAGTGCCACAGGCTGATTGCCTCCATGCCACGCCGCATTGAAGCAGTCATTTCTGCAAAAGGATTCCCGACCAAGTATTGAGTGCATAACTGAACATAATTATTTGAAGGTTGACTTTTTTTGTATTAAAAACACTTTTATTGGTCGGATGAAATATGCTAATTTTTTGAGATAGGAATTTTGGGTTTTCATGAGCTGTATGCCAAAATCATCAATTTTAGAAACAATAAAAGGCTTAAACTACTTCATTTGTCTGCATGCTCTGCTAAAGACTCTGTAGGAGAACAGAAGAAATAATGATCAATGGGAACTTGTGCTTGATATGTTTTTTTTTTCACTTTTTTTTGTATGCAGGATCAGGGCGAGGCCATTGCCCACACCATGACTGCCCAACGGAGCAACGCCCGCATTGAAGGCCTCAAGGCTGGTACACCTTATGTGGTTCAGGTCCGTGCCCGAACAGTGGCCGGTTATGGACGATACAGCAGCCCAGCAGACTTCAGCACCAACTTGCAAAGTACGTTACTCCCAAACTTTTGTAGATTCAGAGATAGTGTGTCAACGTGTTGCGTTGGAAAAATGGCTTGAAAATAGCAACACGCTCAAACTTCTGAGGGAGATCAATAGTCAATCTGTCTATTTTTCATTCAAATAAATCTTTACTTCTTATAGAAAATTTTACAATTTTTTAATATTTTTTCCCATCTAATTGCAGCCAATCCAATGATTATTAAAGATTAAAATTGTATGCTAGATTTTTTTAAATAAGATTTATATCTTTAGCTTTATCGGATTTCTTCCTGTTCTGCTTAATACAGCCTGATAACCATGAAGACACATTCTTATTTTCTATAATTAAATATTCTGACTGATTTATGAAAGGCATATTTGACTATACATTAGACTTTAGCTCATGTGGACATATCTTTATGATTACTCCTTTATTCATTTAACAATGTTCTCAATGCTACACCTAAAGCTGATCCACCCAAGTCATGGCAAGAGCAGCTGCCACTCATCGTTGGATCAATCACAGCCATCTTGGTCTTCATCATTGCACTTGTGGTCATCGCCATCGTCTGCTTCAGGTCAGAATATGCCTGCTAAAAAAATTACAACAATCAGCATGCATGGTAGATTTCACTTCTGTATGCTCCCACAGCAGGGGCTTAAATTTACACCTAAGCATAATGTTTTTCTTCAGATGAGGAAAACAGAGAGCTTCAAATGCCAACTTTGTTTTCACGTCCTCCAAACCACCCCAACACAGTCTCAGTGGAATGCTTTGCCACCTGTGAGGCAGCTGAATGCAAGATTAGCCTTCTGAATCACTGAATAGTAAATAGCTTTGGCTAGATTGCTCTTTTTGCTCACTGGACACAGCATGGCATATCAGCTGTTGAGTCTGATAGGCTTGCCTTCATGGCCCAACACTTTAAATCTACTGTGTGGTTGCCTGGTCACTAAGATCCCAGATGTGGCCATGTGTGCTCGGCTCAGTTGACTAAGAAGATGTGAATGGCCGCTGACACCTTTTAAATAGTCTGATGCAACATCAGCACAGTCGTTTATCCATATTCAACTCATTTGTCAAGTAGCAAATGCAAAGTGTGTTTGTGTCACATGTGTGTGAATGGTTGGCACCCACTCTTTGCTGGCACCCACTGATCTCCACATACAAGCCAGTTTAGGCAGCGGCTGACGAGCGTGGGCATCGGTCACGCTAGACTGAATAACAAAATCCCTGATTCCCCTCCTCTCCTTTTCCCTCCTGATTCTTTTGCTCTGCTCTTTTTAAACATGGCAACATTGTGCTTCTCCCGGGGTCTTGGCTTAGCTGCTCCTCCGACTACCTCAGAAGAAAAAAAACTGTGATAATACAGAAGACAGAGCTCCTGCCTATACTAGACAAAAATTAGAATTTGAATTAAGATGCAAATCACCACTGAGCTTTTTTTTTTTTTTTTGCCCCGGTTACTACATTAGACAACAAAGGAACCACATTAACATGTGGTTTCAACAGCCCAGTCCCAAATCTGTGGCCTCGCCCCATTACAATACAAACTGGTGAGGCTTTACAAACTGAAAGACGTGTACAAGAAAGAAACATAATAGAAAATTTAAGGGTGGGGTGGAAAGAGCGCCAGATTTCATGTGCGAATAAGATTTAGATTGAATTTGGAGAAAAAGTGGAATGTACGTAGAGTTGGGAAGACAAGACAGCTGAGCAGTCTGTATGAGTCTTTAGCCCTTTTTAGAAGACACACCATGCCAGAAAATCAGTGTAATACTGCCACCACGGTGTGTCTGATCAACGTGGCGGTATGGTGATGTGGGAATTTTGCGGCATTCATACCGTCACACTTGGTAGTAATATTACCTCAATGCCCGACTTGTGGAGGGAGGTGTTATGATAATGTGGAGAGTTACTGCCAAGCTCCAGCTGGCAACTATATTTAAAATGAAAGTAAAAACAGCAGTAAGATTAGCTTTTGCTAACAGAACAAGCTGAGATCATAACCGGGAGAGATGCAGAGCTCCAGGAGCTTCTCTCCATTAGAGCTGGAGGTCAGATCACCAGAAACTGTACAAGGACTGTGGAGGACAGACATCTTTAGGAGCAGATTGTTAAAAAAATAGCCTAATGAGCACAGCTTTGATCACAGTAAAAAGCAACTTATGTCCAAGATGAATGGAAGTCCGCAGTCGAGACCGGCTCCTTACCCCTTTTATGCCGCCGTTGCTTAATCTTTTGTAAAAAAGGACACGATTGCGCCTTATTACCGCTATGATCTGACCACTTAAAAATGACCCAAGGCTCCCTGACGCCACTATGGCGTTGTTGCAAATTGGCGGCATTGTTTTCTATAAGAGGCTTTTGTTTGCTTGTTTGTTTGTCTCAGCTGCTCATTTTAGTTTATCTGAGCATGGAAAGATTTGACTTGCTTTCTCAGACCTTTACTTTAGATTTGCATTGCAGTCAAATCATTATCCCACTTGACACTGATACAGTCTTTATCAGTGTATCTATCCTTTTGCCTCCAGTGTAATAAGACTAAACATCTTCACCAAGCCACAGCACCATGCTTCTATGTCTGATGTAACAACAAAAAAATTATAGGGATCTGTTTTCTTTTGCTGCCTTTGTTCTTTTCCAGTATTTGTATCCCACTGCGTCCATATAACTTAGTTTGGGTTTCATCTTTCTCAACAGAAAGCAGAGAAATGGTTCTGAATCAGAGTACACAGAGAAACTGCAGCAGTACAGTAAGTATCTTTGCTAAGATCTTTGATTAATTTCAAATTTCAGAAACAAGTCAAGTGTTCTGGTTAAAAAATGACCAACAAGCTGCTTCAATAACATAAATTGTTTTATCTTTTAGCACCGTGGAACAAAAAGTATAATTGAATGTGTTTGCATCCATAAATGTGTTGTTCAGAGCTTGTTTGGCTGCGTAGATTCACTTTCCTGTTCTTGCCACTGAATCCCCAATAGTAACGCCAGGAATGAAGGTCTACATTGACCCCTTCACCTATGAGGACCCCAATGAAGCAGTGCGGGAGTTTGCCAAGGAGATCGACGTGTCCTGCGTGAAGATCGAGGAGGTCATCGGCGCAGGTAACCCACCAAAGCTCCTGAGCTACAGGGGGAAGACTGCTAGTCACCTCCAGGCCATACCGTTAGAGGACTTCACACCAAGCGGTACTTTCACTCAATTCATCATTAGCCCTCTTCTTCCTCCCACCCCTACCACACTTATCACCTTTTAGGGACCCCTTCCTCCAGCACCCTCCTAAGTTCAGATCCGTACTAGTCATGTCCAATTTAAGTTAGCTTGACACATACTTTAATGCCACGGGCATTTGGAGTAGCTGAAAGAACTTTTTCTTTGGTGGATAATCATTTCATCCTTGTTCTGAAAATAGACCCCAATCCTGGAATAAGAACAATGATCTGTTTTTTTTTTAATCTCTCTTATAGCAATTGAATTCAGATTTTGGACGAGCAAATTATGATAGAGCCCTGTTTTTTTAAGTTTAAGTATTTTCATACAGGGTTTCCTCTTTTTTGGCTTTAAAATTTAAAAGTAAACTTCTTTTAAGAATGAAATGTACAATTACTTACATCATCATGCACATTCTGTTTCTAATCTAACTCTAAAAGAATTATATTATTTCAAAGAATTCTGCAAATGACCTTCTGAGTGGCCTAGTGGTATGAGTGTCCTTCCTGAAACTGGCAGATTGGGGTTTCAATCTGGTTGGGTCATACCAAAGACTTTAAAAATGGGACCCAGTGCCTTCCTGCTTTAAGGTGTTGGATTGGGTTGGATTGGGGGCTAAAACCACCAAACAGTTCCCGAGCGCAGCCACAGCTGCAGCTCACTGCTTCCCATGGGGATAGGTCAAATTCAGAGATGTAATTTCACCAGTATGTGATGACTAATTATTTCAGTGCAACATTATTTCCAGATAAACTTTTCAAAGACTTGACCAAATAGGAAACCAAGCATTTTGCCTTTCAAAAGGACATACCTACTACTGAATCTGTCTTAAAGCTTAATATAACACATTGTCTCGAGTCCAGGATTGTCCCTGACCTCACACACTTTGTATTTTCTTGAGAACATCTTATAAAAAGAGGGCTTCACTATATTTGACCCTAGCTCCTGACACTTCCACCTCCTCACCATGTTATTGTCTACCTGATTTTTAGAACCCCCTCCCTTACATGATGTTGTAGACAGTGAAATATTTTCTGTACTTGAAATATTTGACAGTAATGCTTCTGCTTAATAGCTGCAGGACTTTGTCGTTTGAGGTTGAGTTATTTTTCAATATTTATCTGAATAAAATCGGAGGACGTTGTGATGGCAGAGATGGGAATCCCCTACTGCTGCTTCTGCTACTACCAATACTACTGCTACCGCTACTACGACAACTCTTCTACTGCTGAGGCTACTACTTGAAACCCGTCGCTTCCCAGCATTCGCCTTTGAAGTGACAAACCCTCAACCCTGTCTTCCCTGTCCCCCTTCCTCTCATATACCCTATACCCTTTCCTATATCAATCCCTCTGCCCCCCCATCGCCTTCCCCTCGCTCCTCTGACCTCCCCTCACCTTTGTCACCTTTGCACCGATGTTAAAACACATCACTCTCATCGCCTAACTTTTCTTGCACATGCTTGGTGTAGAATATAAACATAAAGCGTCCACAACTGCAAAACCCCTCAAGCTTTTGTCTCCACCCATGTCCTCATCCAGCATCCGCTTCTCCAGCCCCTCCAAAGCATAGCACCACCTCCCTGATCCATGACGGCTTTCTCCCTCTCTCCCTCAAATTCACACAACCTGTCACTATTTCATCCTTGTTTCCTTTTATTTCAATGTTGTTGTTGTTTTGTTTATTTCATAGTTCTGGCATTGTTTTCATACTTTTCACTCACCATAATTTAAATTTTAATGTTTAGCCTAACAATACAAAGTTATTGTACACGCCCCGTACCACCATCATCCCTTAAGACTGGCCTTGAGTCTGGCTTCTCTTGCAGTTACCCCTTCCTCAACCCTCCTGCTCCCCTTCCCTGGCTCCTTGGTTCTAACCAGTTAACTGTTCCCTCTCCTATTTTTTCCCCCACTCTCCTCCACTCTTCCATCATGCCTCTCTTGCATATCTCCTCTTCCTCTTTTGCTTCTCTGGCTGTCTCACATGGGCTCTCACAGGAGAGTTTGGTGAGGTGTGCCGCGGTCGCCTGAAGCTGCCTGGCCGTCGGGAGATCATAGTGGCCATCAAGACACTCAAGGTTGGCTACACTGACCGGCAGAGACGAGACTTCCTTTCCGAGGCTTCCATCATGGGCCAGTTCGACCACCCCAACATCATCCGTCTGGAAGGTGTGGTCACCAAGAGTCGGCCTGTGATGATTGTGACTGAGTTCATGGAAAACGGGGCCCTGGATTCCTTTCTAAGGGTAAGGAAAATAAGACAACTCTGGCCAAACAAATTCAGCATCTCAATATTTCAATTAGGCGATCTTCACTGCAAGCCAATTTTGAGCTTTTATTTAGGCTATTTAACTTCCTTTGGATTTTCTTTAACTCAGCCACCGTGTCCACAGTGGATTTCTCACAAATAAGGGAGTTGGTGACATTTTAGCAAAAGATCCAACAAATCTCTGCCTCAAAGCTATTTCATACATTGTCTGACAAATTTTAGTGAGCAATAGAAGAAAACATAGAGGAGGAAAGAGGGGCATAAAAAAACAACACAATAGCACGGCAGGCAAAAGGTAAGGATAAGAAAAGATGAAAAAAGACAAAATAAGAAGACATGTGAGAGTATACAGAGTCAACAAGAGGAATGTACCACAAATTCATTTGAACTTGTAACTCTGATCGACATTCCAATTTAATGCTGTCATTCTGTCATCCTTTTCCAGCTCAACGATGGGCAATTCACAGTGATCCAGCTGGTTGGCATGTTGCGTGGTATCGCAGCAGGCATGAAGTACCTGTCAGATATGAACTATGTGCACAGAGACCTGGCTGCCCGGAACATCTTGGTTAACAGTAATCTGGTGTGTAAGGTGTCTGACTTTGGGCTGTCTCGTTTCCTTGAAGATGACCCTACAGATCCCACATACACCAGCTCACTGGTGAGTGGATTTGATGTGCTGTTGTAATTTGTGTTAGTGTTTTAAATGGACATCTAACATACGTAACGTTTAACATCAGTATATCACCTCTGATTTAAGTCCCCTTTCTAAATGAATCTGCTCACAAGACTTGACACTGTTGTTGCTTTTTCTTGACAGTGTGGCACTGACAAGAAGTAAAACTAAAGATGTGGTTCACTGAAAAACATTTTTTAATTATTACTTCTGACCATGAAAAGTGTCTCCTACACCTATCTCCTGAATTAGTTTCTGATAGAAAATAGATGGTGAAACTCTAGGATTTGAGAAACCTGACAGACCTACGGCTAGTGGAAGCTAACTGTTAGCATTAGCAACTTCACCACACAGCAGAAGCTTCTTTAGGCTTCTGTTATTTGTGGGGATAAAATAATCAATCTTTAAAAGTAAGAGTAGTCAGTGGTAGAGCCACGTTGCTGTTAGCCAATCAGAGGTAAGATGTCCAAATATCAGGAAGAAAGACTCCAACTCCTGCTGTCTGATCTGGCAATCTTCTAGGTCTTGAGAGATCCACATCAGGGCTTTTTATATCCAGAGTACAACTTACAAGACATTCATTCATGTATTTTAATGTATTGATTAAATGAGTGAATCACACCTTTAAAGACAGATTAGGGAACAGACTGAAAATAAATCATGCAGCTAGATTTTTTACACACTATGTGAACTCTTAGAGTCATAACTGTACTTCCAAAAAACAGAAAATACGTGTTGTGGTAGATGTTGTCTAGGGTGACATTTCTATTAAATTTACAAATCTGTTAAAGCTGTTAAAAATTATGTTTAATATGTATTATACTTACATACCCTTATTTTCATGTCATATTCCAATCTGTGATTCGTTTTAAAGTTAAGAAACCTGCTCTGGTTCTTCCAAATTTCTTTTTAACCCTCTGGAGGCAGGCGTTGCACATTTGCAACGTTAAAACCTACCTACCTGGTTACTCCACATATTAAGTTCATGAGCACTTTTTAACTCAGAAGTACCCCTGAAGGACTTAATTGTTCGTCATTTTATCAAAACTTATTTTGAGCCTGAGGGGGTTAAATAAAAGAATAGTTTTCATCTCCCTGAGCAACACAGCTGTTCGGTTGGCTGTTGAAAGTCCCTTTCAACATCTTGTTTAGCAGAAAAGACAAAAAAAAAAAAAAAAACCAAACACCTATAGCAATATCCGGCAGAATGAGGTCTGACAAGTCTAGTGTTGACAGGAAGCAACAGTGTTAGTTTCCTAAAGAAAACCCTGCCGGATACGAGAATCATAGCTGCACTTGGACGTAATGGTGATATACTGATGTTAAAAATACAGTGTGAGCCATGCTAAATAGTCTTATGTGTCCACGTGTCGTTTTTGTCTCAGTGTTTGACTAACCATGTGTGTTTTTGGTGTTGAGGGTTTACAGCATGCACCCACGTGTTGAGCATCGACGTTTCCCTTCCAGTTTTTTTGCTCACCCTTTCTCTCCCCCTCTTGTGTGTGTGTGTGGCTCTGTCTCTGTGCTCCATCCCTCCAGTATTTCATGCTCACATACTCATTCGCATATCCACAGGGAGGTAAAATTCCCATTCGCTGGACAGCCCCTGAGGCGATCGCCTACAGAAAGTTCACCTCAGCTAGTGATGTGTGGAGCTACGGCATCGTCATGTGGGAAGTAATGTCGTACGGCGAGCGGCCGTATTGGGACATGAGCAATCAAGATGTAAGCTTCGCTTTTTTTGGTTTGTAAAATGCAAATACTTGAAATTGCTCTGTGGGAAAAATCTACAGTAACTCCCTAACATGTTCCTAATTTTTAAATGTCTAGCCCAGAGCTGGTTTCATCTTTTATCTCTTATTTATCTATTTTTTTCTCTACTTTCCTCCCTCGCTTATCCATTCACCAACACACATCTTGATTTTCCGGGGTGTCCATCTTCTCTTCAGTTTAAAAATGTGCGAGTGAACTGAAATATTTTTCTGCTGTCCTTCCTCAGGTGATAAATGCTGTAGAGCAGGACTATCGACTGCCCCCACCCATGGACTGCCCCACGGCCCTACACCAGCTCATGCTGGACTGCTGGGTCAAGGAAAGGAACTTGCGACCCAAATTCACCCAAATTGTCGCCACATTGGATAAACTTATCAGAAACGCAGCCAGCCTCAAGGTTGTCACCAATAGCACACAGTCCACAGGGTAAGTCTTAGTGAAACTACACCCTAGAGCAAGGGTATTCAGACCTAAAACCTTCCGATGACTGGACAACCCGCTCTACTTCCTGAGCTACTGCTGCCCTTGTAGCCACAACAGGTCTACCATTGGTCTGATTGCAGCGCTATATGTTTGTTGGGTGAGCTTAATGTTAGAGCTGCAATGGAGAAAAAAATACAAAGATGGCTTCAGCTGAGGAACCATACTCCTTTGATACAGCTTTGGCATCAACTTTGAACGATATAGACTTAAGTCCTTTGTTAGACATGAGCAGGCAGAGGTACATTTATTTTGAAAGGGGATCTATTAGCTTCTTTGATGGTGTATGGCAGACTGCCTCATTGACTGGCATCTGTAGCGGTGAATACTTCACATTTTTTGTTGCACTGATTGGTCCATGCATTGTCCAATTGCATGTGGAAACAATTTGAACAACAACCATAGATCCAGACCCACAGCTGGGTGCTTTCCATGGCTCGAGGCCAGATTATAGATTTACTATCTAGGATGACTCGCCAGGCCACCAAAACAGCATTTTGTCAAGAAAAGCCTTAAACTGAGTAAATGCTGCTGGTTCATCATCGTTGCCAGGCAACAATATAGTGGTTATTAAGTTCCCCAAAAAATCCCATTATTCAGTAACACCTTACAATAAAGGTCCCTTTATTAACATTGCTTGGTGCATTATTAATCATTAATAAACCATTACATAATGTGTTAACAACTGCTATTATGCATTACAAAGCATTACTAAACATGTTATCAATGCAATATTAAGCAGTTAACTAATGTCTATTACTGAACCTAAGGGTCCAAAATTCATTCAATAATGATTAATTATGGTTAAGTAATGCTTAAGTAATGCTTAGGCATCTATTAGGCATTTATAAAGTGTTTATAAATTGATAAATGTTTACACTTTACAAAAAGGGTCGAAAATTTATTTATTAATGATTAATTATGCTTAAGTATTGCTTAGGAGTCTATTAAGCATTTAGAAAGCATTTATAAATGGAACAATGTTTACACTTTACATTAAGGGTTAAAAAAAGCTTAGTACTGCATTAATTAAGGTTCAGTAATAGGTATTATTTAACTGCTTAATAATTCATCAAATAATATGTTTAGTAATGCTATGTAATGCATAAAAGCAGTTGTTAACACTTTTTAACGGTTTATTGATGCTTAATATTGCACGAAGAAATGTTAATAAAGGGACCCTTATTGTAAAGTGTTGCCCATTAATCTCTAAATACACTACTTATTAGCACTAAAATGATTTTTAGGTGAGTTTTGTTTTTATTAAGTTGTATGTTAACAGGCAGCAGAAGTTTGTGGAAGAATTGTATTCTTTGTCATCACTTTCTTTGATACACTCACCTTACTTGGACTGGTCAAGACATCAGTTTGCATCTGAGGTAATGTGCTATGCAAATGCATTTTTCCCTGACTCTTACAATGCATGGAAGTCCCTGATTCAGCTACTAGAGTCTGTTAGTACCACACACAGTGCAGATTTCTTCCCATACAAATCTTTAGTACTCACATACGCAGGCTTGGCCATTATGCAAATCCAAATTACCATCGCTCAATACAACCTTTAAAGAGGTTCAGCCACCAGCTGGGAGCTCAATCAATCACGACACTTCTACATTTAGCTGATTTGTCTTTATTTGAAACTTCAAGTTCTTGGAATTAGTTTGTAGGATAGAAGGCTACAGAGTTGGAGTGTATCAAAAAGGGGTGACCTACCTTTCTGTCCCTGCATCAGGGCCTTTCAGTCTTGAGGGAGGGCCTCAGACAATCCTGGGTTGGGCTCAGGAGATAAATCAAGGTCTCGGTTGGCCACTAGAGTGATGTTCTTAGAAGATTAGGCTTGCGTTTAATTAGCTCGATTAAAGCGATGCAAGAAAAGAGATGCGAGCGACTTTTAATTAGCCACTAACAGGATTTTAAACGGGCCAGTGGCGAGGTGGCCTCCTGCCGACAGACCTAACAAGTGAGGAGTGAGGGAAGGAACAGCAGTCCTGGTTGGCTGGAGGTTCAAACACACTAACATGGGGTCTTTTGGTTGTGTGCTTAATAATATGCACCTGACTTGTTTGCAAACTCTAAAATGTATTTAAGGGAAAATTACCAGAAGGGCCTAAGTCACAAGAGGATATCAGCACTTCCTAATTTTACTTTGAGTCTTTACTGTGAGTAAAAGAGAGATATATGTCCTGTAGAGTGGAACAGTGAGATCTTCAGCAGGAACAGTCTCCCATTGGAAACGTAATAGTCCCTAATAAATTTAGTTTAGGCTTATAGTGATTCTAAAAGATACCTCGTGGGATTATCCATCTATCCTGCTGTGCTTCTGTTTTCGTCTTACATGTAGCCAGCAGTAGTCTGGACCCTTTCCTAGCCAACCTTAGAGAAGCTGGGCTAACAATCCTCAATTAAGAGAAGCCAGAGTATGGCGTTAACGACAGCCTGAAGCCCCAAGTTCTGAAGCACAGCCCTTATTAAAAAAATCACTCCATCTGCACCGCTCAATGGAGCCTCTGTACCACTGTTATTACCTCCCCTATATGGCTTTCCTCCTTCTTTCTCTCTCCATTCCTCTTTTAATTGTTAGTGCATCTAATGCCATCAAAAAGGATGACAGGGATCAACAGAGCAGGGAGAGAGAGAGAGAGAGACAGTGGTGCTCTTTCTCTGGGCTCACTCCCTTGACTGTTTTTTCTCCTTCACCTTCCCTCACCTCCCCGCCACCCACTCCACCTCTGCTCTTCTTCATCCGCTCTACTTTGCTCTGAGTAGTTTTGCAGTTTTATTAAAACTCTCAAGGTGGCCTCTTTTATCTACAGCGCTGATCGTGGCTGTTTTTTTTTTATCCACATGGCCTTTTGGGTTGTCAGCAGGTTGGTAAGCGTTGGTCATACACACCTGCTGACAACCCTGCTGCATATTAAGACGAGACGGGGAAAGGGACATTAGCATAGCTACAGAGAAACGTCCCTTCAGATCTTACTGTTTTACCACCAGTACATTTGAAAGGTACGTGTTTACATTCCACAGATGTTTCAGTCTTTTCCAGAGGAAAATGTCTCCCTGCACACATCCGTTCGCTGAGTCAACTTGTATCATAATCCTGAAAGAATAAGAGCTCAGCTTTACCCTTGGGGAACACTCTGTAAATGCAATAATTGTAAGCTGAAATGTAGAACTCTAATAGCGTGTTACTTGAGCTTTTGTTCATGCTGAAGGTGCAAATTTGTTTCAAATTGGCCAGTCAAACCACATGGAATCCAATCTTCCCAGATCCAATTTAGACCACGGCTGTTGAAGTTTTGAGAATGGTTACAGTTAGACATTTTTTTTTACCTTGATGCGTTATTCCCAAAGAAGCACGCTTTTGTGTTATTGTAACGCAAGGATCAAGAAGAAAGTCAGAACTAATGTTCCACAACAAATCATGAATAATTGAGAATGAGTACATTAACTCCCATCTCACCTTAATTGTTTAGAAAAGCGTTTGGTTTCAGATTTGAAATTGTACACTGTACACCATCACTTCCCATCAGCTGTTGTGCCAGTGTCCACCGCCCAAGCCTCCAGCCAGTCTCTCCACAGTCATAAAGTCCCCAGCCCCAGTGCACACAACTCCTTACATCCTGTATGGAGGAGAGGGAAGGAGAGGGGGAGAAAACAAGGAGGAGAGGCAGAGAAATGGAGAGATGGCGCTCAGTGGGGGGCGTTTGGGGCTGAGGTTGGCCGCTAGAGGCAGTAGAATGATGACCTTAACCCTCTCTCTCTCTCTCTCTCTCCTCCCTGCCCCCTGTCCTCCCAAATGTAGGGTGTCCCAGCCTTTGCTTGACCGCAGTGTGCCAGACTATACCACTTTCACCACTGTGGGGGACTGGCTGGATGCCATCAAGATGAGCCGCTACCGTGACAACTTCATCAACGCTGGATTTGCGTCCTTTGACCTGGTGGCCCAGATGACAGCAGAGTGAGTGGAGCTAATCAGGCCCAAAGTGATTGACTGCACCGGGTTTGAAAGTTAAATTAAAGTTTCATCAATTGACCTTGAGTGAATGAATATTTACTCGTGGATAAATTAAACATGTGATGTGGACTCGGTAGACCCAGATATTAAACTTAATGAACCCAAAGCTAGCAAATAGCTAATGCCGTTTTTAAGCATTTTCAAGCTGTGTTGGTACATCTGGTGTTGCAGATTTAAAGTTCTCAATATTCAGCTGGTTCCTTTATCCCCAGCTGGAGATGTACACAACATTTATCTTGCCTACAAACAGGAAATGATGTAATGGAAGTCATGTAAATCGGATGCAAGTGATGATCAAATAAATGAATTAGGATTCTAATGATAAATAAATCATTCTCACTAGCTGCATAATAGGCAGTGGAGGTGGGGGTAATTTGTTTCAATTTGACCAGGCTGACAGGTGTGCTGTACTGTGGCTGTCTGTTGCCCTTAATGGCCAGTAATTCCTCTTAATGGTTTCCATTTATTATCATTTTATCCTCTGTTGCTGTGCTGATGGGGATGACACAATATGAAGAGGAGAGAAAAAAAACATTTATTTATCCAGGAAAATGTTGCAGGAATGTAGCATCTGCATTTCCTCAGCTCCGTTTGGTGGTCTGTGTGTGACATTAGATCATCCAGTGTGTGGGAGGATGATGATGAAAGTCGGCTCATCACTGACTCAGACAATATCTGCTCTCTCCTTGTCTACTGGCCAGTTAAATCAAGCAAACGAGTGGAAATGGGAGCTTTTGTTGCGATATTATTGAACAATGTAATCATTAAATGATAACTGATGATGACAAATCTGACTGCTATTGTCGCTGCGTGCCAAACGTTTGATTGTGCAGCAAAAAAGGACAACGATACACTGTTTGCTTTTATTTTATGCAATACAAGTTTGATGTAATTATTTTTGCTGTTGTCACAATACAGCAATTTAAATAAAATGCACTTGTATTTTCCTATTTTATTTATATTCCTATATTTTATGTTATAAATGGCAGCAGGTAGACTTCACAGTCCACGGCAACCAAACAGTAGCTACGTTTGTCTTTTAATCATTAACTGTCATTATGGCATTTTGACTTGAATCATCTCGCACACCTGCTAGGTAACAGAAGTATGTTTAACCGCACCTCTCTTTGACGGTTCCCGTTTTGTTAACATGCCCGCAGGAAGCTGTTTTATGGCTGAGGTCTGTGCCCGTTGCCCACCTGGAGAAGTGTGTTTACTTGCAATGAAAGTGAAACTTGCTGCTATTCAACTTCAGCTTGGCATTTTTTTAATTGATGGAGCCACTTGTTCTTTTTTTAAAGTGTATTTATTTATTTCCCATCTCCACAGGGACTTGCTGCGAATAGGGGTGACGTTGGCCGGTCATCAGAAGAAAATTCTCGGTAGCATTCAGGACATGAGACTACAGATGAACCAAACACTTCCTGTCCAGGTGTGAGCACAGACGGATGCAGTCAAAGGACAAGCAGACAGGAAAAGGAGGAGGGAAAGGTGCCAGAGAAGGCCAATGGAAACAAAACCCTAGCTGCCTGATCCATCTCTGCCAACTAGACACTAAAAACTGGCTTGCAGTGCCTCAGATATATAGTTTTTCTTTATTTCAGAACCACTTACATTTCTTGCCCCCGCTCTTTAGTTCCTTTGCATATTTTTCCCCTCCCATCCAAATGGAATCAGTTTTTTTTTTGAAAGAAGAGAATGGGTTGACCCCCTTTCCCATATGCACCTCACCAGCTCTAGAATGGGTTGATGTTTGCATGCATGTGGTTTTTGGTGAAGTTGGCCTCAGTGGTGCTCTGATCCTTGTGCAAGAACCTCTTCCCTTGATCCTTAATGCAGCTCTGCTGGACGTAAGAATCTCTGGTCAATAAGGAAGACCCGCATTCATAATTAACCCGGGGATAAAACAAAATGTGTGCCAGATCACGAGAGACAGAGGACGACCTGGACGGGTTGTTTTATTGTGCATGTGTGTTGTTCTCCATCTTCATATTGAAGGTGTGATACCTAAAAGGGCACTTGCTGCAGAAAGGTGAGGTGGTGAAGACAAAAATATAAGTTGGACTTCCATCAAAGGTCAAGAGGATAACAGAAAAGGTCAAAAGAGAAGGCAGCCACATTTTTGGACATCTGCACTGGCTTTTTGGTCGACAGACCTCTTTGCTCTGGTCTGAAGTGACTTTGGATGGTTCCATAGCGTGGGAACACCTGCGTATCACCTGTGTTTTTTAAATGAGAAGCCTCTTTCTTCGCTCTACTTTTATTTTGTTTCCTTTGAAGTTGCTTAGATTTTTTACACATTTTTGGGAGATTTTCAAAATGGGATCCCCTCCATGACCGGACACTTAATGTGATGAGTGGGGGACGAGGACTGTGGCAGAATGACCCCTTGGCCTTTAGTGTGATTTTTTTATGCGAGTGGCTGTGTGTGTGTGTGTGTGTGTGTGTGTGTGTGTGTGTGTGTGTGTGTGTGTGTGTGTGTGTGTGTGTGTGTGTGTGTGTGTGTGAGCGTCTGAGCGTCTGACTTAAGTGTCTGGGTGTACAAGAGTGTATACACATTTCTGTACAAAACAGCTTCCACAGTTTGACAGAATGAAGAATTAAAGCATGGACTGAACTGTAATAAGGAGCAACTATATCTGAAATAATTACACTATACTCTGTGGACAGCTGTTAAACATTCACTTTTTTAATGACTCCAAAAATGGACTTTAGACACACACACACACACACACACACACACACACACACACACACACACACACACACACACACACACACACACAACAGTCAATTGATAACTACAAACACTTGTTTATATTTCTCAACCTCCTGCCCTGTGTATTTATTTGTACCTAACCCATCAACCCCCCAAATCCCCGACTACAACACAAAGATGGACTGGGCTGCTGTTTGGGAGAGTGGACTTCATCCAACGAAGAGGAGAAACTCCAAGCAACTTCATCCGATCAGAAATTCCTAATGAATTAGTAAATATTAAACAAAAAAATGCACATAAATTGGGATATTGTATTTTTGTTGTTGTTCTAAACAGCCTGTACATGTTTTGTAACAAATAAGAAGAATAACTAAAGAAAATTGGTGTTGTGAAATGTTTGCCTCACAGTGAATTAAACCTAATGATGATGCAAGATGAGAGAGGAGATTCAAGTAGAAACAAACCGCCCCATGTTCGATGACTGCATCATCGCCTGTTTTTATGAGCAGGCGTTACGCAAGTGTTGATTGTGTGCAGGTGTGTGTGTGCCCCAATCCATTCTCAACATAAGGAGCATTTATGAAGCGCTGAGCCGTTACTAATTGTCTTCCAGGCACATAATTGTCATCTCCTGCAAACCAATCAACATTTTTTTAAATGCAAGACTTGTCAAAAAGTTTTTACAAGGACAAACCAGGGATAGCGTTGTTTCAGCATATCACTGCAGTCGCCACAGAGGAGGAGCTCCATAACGGGCCACGCAGTTTCTCCCCATCCAACAGGATCCTCATTAGAGAATCCACAGCTGTCAGAGGAGCAACCTATTGGTGTTTGTCTGTCAGCTCGATTAATGCAGCAGCCAATCAGGCATCATTCGGATATGAATGTGCAGCACGCAGGCAGACACATGGGGCAGGCAGGCCTATCATTATGTCTCATTCATTTCCTGTCTGGCCTGCAATCACCCAGTCTCTGCACTGGGTGCTGCATGATTAGCACAGAGCTGGATCGACAACACAAGCATACAGGCAGCCAAAAACCTGGAGCCACCCTCGTCTTAACTGATAGCAGCTGCACCTCCAACACCATATTTGTGCTTCTCAGGAGAGGGTGTGTGGAGATAGCGGATTAGAGACTGCTGTGATCTTCCACACTGTCTCTTTATTGTTTGGGCTGGAGGCGATCAATGCAGTATATGACTATGATAATTATTTGCATGCATGATGATACTGCAACACTTCATTAATGTTTTTTTCTCTCTCGAACAAGTGAGTTTACTAATACTCTGTTAAGCGCTTCCTAATCTGTAACTGTAGAGGTGCACTATTAACTAATTCACAGGAGTACATGAGTCTGGGTTTGAGGTTGTATTGGTAGTAATATGGGTGTAAATTGGAGCTGCAAGAACTGGCAACAAAACTTTTGTCATCAGTAATCACAATTATTTTATCGTCTTTCACAGCAAAACTGGAACAGAGTGAAATGTTTGGGAACGACAACAATTTCAATCAAGGGATTTTCCCCAATTAAGAAAAAATGTCCTCCTCTTTCTCAGTTGTTCATGACTTCTGTTCCACTCACTGTTAACTCATCTGTGGTGCCAAACAAGACTAGTTGATTGGCATAAAACAACATCAAAACTCGGGGAGGCTAAACACTGTCAGATGGCAAACATCCCGACTCATGAGAAGTGGCAGCCCGGAGCCTTTTGTGAACTATTGATGAAGTGCACATGGTTTTCTGGGGTCTAGAGTTGTGCTCACCAAAGTCAACCGGCCGTGAGCGATGGGCGACTGGCAGGGTTGCACACATTTAAAAGATTAACCCATCAACCGCTTCAACTGAAAACAATTAATCTTTTAGTGTTTTTTTAAAGATATTCGTAAGAGTGTTGCACATTTCACACTCAAGGAAAAAAACTGCTCTCTTGTGTTTTGAGTGTATCCATCTGGCTGCAAATGGCTGAAATGAAGATGGACTGTTACGTGTGTGTGTGTGTGTATGTGTGTGCGTGCGTGCATGTGTGTGTGTGTGTGTGCGTGCGTGCGTGTGTGTGTGTGTGTGTGTGTGCTCTTTTTTAACAGTTGGATCACCAGAGTTTAGATCAGTTGTGCTTATCTCTCCGTGTGCTAGTAGGATTCAGACTATCCGAACATTCCTTAAAGCTTTCTTCCTCAGTTTAACATATTCTGCAGCGTATCACAGATGAAACCTCCTCTCTGAAAACACCCCTCACCCCTCCACATTTCGGCTCTCTAGCTTTGTTTTCCTACCTGTCTGTTTTCAATTAATATATACAGTACTTTTTGTTTCCTTCTTCTGTCTAACGAGCTCACAGACCTGTCTGTCTTTTAGTTGCTTTTATTTTTTCCTGTCTTATAATAACAAGCAACATGCTTCAGAGAGTTCTGTACATGTTTAGTGAAATAGAATCAGGGGAGTGGGGTTGGATTGAGAAATACAATTGTCACTTCCTCTTTGAAAAGCATTGAGATGTATTTAAATGGTGGAGATATACACAGCAAATGACTAAAAAGATGAAGCATTCTTGTAGAAATATTTTTAAAAGACCCTTTTTGCAATTAAATTATTTAAGAAATGTGACCCAATCTCCCCTCTGAGTCTTGTGTTGTGTCTTGAATCGATCATTCTTCCACATGGAGATGGTTCTTTGTTCTTTAAAAGGTACCATGCCAATTACTGATGATAATCACACACATGCTCCTCAGTCGGGCAACTGCCCAGGACAAACACATCCTACCTCTCTGCATACATTTTTATGGCCATCTCCCACTGCTGTAATGATTACCAGAACTTTGGGTAACGCTGTAGTATTTATTACAGCGACTGCTTTTGTTTGATAAAGTCATGCTATAGCATTGGTTCAGCTTACAGAATGATTTAGGTAAACACCACACACCCCCAGGTTTAACTGCCAACTTCCAAACATCTGCTCAGTTTAGCCATGAACTGGAATAGTTGATTTTTCATCCAAAAACCTCTGATTTGATGTTTGGGTTGCAGACAAGCTTAAGGTGTATTATTGCTCTTTTTGAGGAAAATGTTGATGTTGCAGAACAAAGATTTTTCTGCTGAAGAGTTTTTATTGATCTTTTGAAAAGTTTTCTGGTTCCTTTGTTAAAGGAATGCTTAAGTTTCAACTGTAGTAAACAACCCTGCACCAGGCTGCTGTAGCTAGCACTAACAATAAGCTAACACCGATGAAAGCCAACTGACACTAAAAAAGCCATCAAGTAAAAAGATCCACGCTGTCGGGCAAAAATATTATTACTTTTAAGTCCAGTTGCAACAAAGCCAGGTCACCATCAGTTTATGATTTCGTAGCAAGAGTTGGCAGCACCAATGTTCACTACAGTTGTAGCTCTTTGTTTCGCCTCCAAAGACATTACTCTTTACTCCCAGGCTCAGTCATGATGTCAACAAAAGTTGCAAGATGGTTCTTCTTCTGACCAACTGCTAGCCTTTGTATGATCTACCAGTACAGTAAATGGTTATTGTCACAAAGCAGATAGAGACCTCCTTCTAGTGCATCTACCCGAATCACAAACCCTGTTAAATACAGAGAGGGCTACTGTCACGGTTTGCCTCCCTCTGCTGTGAGTTTTGGTCAGCGCTGTGTTACAGGTGGGCGTGGTACTCATCACACCTGTTCGGAGTTCCACTAATCGGAGCCAGAGGGATTTAAGGAGCGATGGGACTCAACTCCAGCGCCAGTCGATACTCTCACATGGGTAGATTCCAGCCTTGTTACCTGTCCTGATCATACGTACTAAGCTAATGAGCTTATTTATCCTGTTCCAGTTTCCTGATCTGAATCACCTACCTGGTCTGGAGTTGTTTCTTCCCGTCTCGTCGCTCAAGGATCCTCAGGTCTTCGAACTCCTCGCCCGCCGGCCTGTCCACGCTCTGCACCATCCTCACCGCTCCAGCCTCTCCCAGTCCGCCTCCGCGCAGCTTCTGGTCTCTGATCGTAAGAACTCTCAGTCTCTCAGTCAGTTTCTCTTGGTTCTCTGGTTCCGGTCTCGCTCACCTCTCCTTTTATCTTTTATAGATTCCGGTCCCGTCCCGTTCCTGTGTTTTCAGACGCAGCGTCCTTAGTTCTAGGTTGCTCCTTATTTCTATTTTTTTAAATAAAACACCTGTATTTTTCGTACCTTTGTTCTGTCGTGATTCTTCATGTCCATGGGTGAAGCACTTACCCACAGCATGACAGCTACAGAGTGCTGTCCAGTGTGAAGTTGGTCAAGATTGTGGTCCAATAACCATTACAACCAGTTTTAAAGAAATATCTTTAATTGTTGCTGGTAAAGTCTTTTCAGGCGTTCTGGAGAGGAGGGTCTGTCAAATTGTCCAACCTTAGATTCCGGAAGAACAATGTGGTTTTCGTCCTGGCTGTGGAACACTGGACCAGCTCTATACCCTTACGGGAGTCCTGGAGGGTACCTGGGAGTCCATCCAACCAATCAACATGTGTTCTGTGGATTTGGAGAAGGCGTTCAACCGCATTCTGTTCTTAACTTTGATGGACAGGATTTTTAGGCACAGCCAAGGTGTTGAGGGGATCCGTTTTGGTGGCCTAAGAATCATGTCTCTGCTTTTTGCAAATGGTGTGGTCCTGCCGGCGTTCGCTGGAGTGGTTCGCAGCTGGGATGAGAATCAGCTCCTCTAAATCTGAGACCATGGTCACCCAAGTGGAAGAGTTTAAAGTATCTCGGCTCTTGTTCCCGAGTGAAGGAAAGCTGGAGCGTGAGATCGATTGGTTGTGTGCAGTGATACAAGTGTTGTACCTGTCTGTCATGGTGAAGAGAGAGCTGAGCCAGAAGGCAAAGCTCTTGACTTACCAGTTGACCTATGTTCCATTCCTCACCTATGGTCATGAGCTTTAGGTAGTAATCGAAACAACGAGATCACGGATACAAGCAGCCGAAATTAGTTTTCTCCGCAGGTTGTCCAGGCTCTCCCACTGAGATGGGGTGAGAAGCTTAGAGTAGACCTGCTGCTCTTCCACATCAAGAGGATCCAGTTGAGGTGGCTTGGGCCTCTGGCTTGGATGCCTCTTTGATGAGGTTTTCTGGGCAGGTCCAACCGGGAGGAGATCTAATGAAAGATCCAGGACACGCTGAAAGGACTATGTCTCTCTGCTGGCCAGGGAATGCCTTGGGATTTCCCCCAGAGGAGCTGGCCTAAGTGGCAGGGAGATGGATGTCTGAGCAAATTATAACAATGACAATATATGAAGCTGTGATATTATGAATCAGCTGATACTTGCAAATACCCCCCCCCCCCCCCCACACACACACACATACACACACACACATGCACACAACAAATATTTTTAGTTCTGCTTAATCATTAGACAGTATAAGCTGTTCACGAGCCCAAATGGTCTGTATTTCTATAGCACCTTCTAAAAATTCTACAACCCCCCCAAGGTGCCTTGCAACACAATCAGCCATTCATCCATTCACACACACATTCACACACTGGTGGTGGTGAGCTACGATGTAGCCACAGCTGCTCTGGGGCACTCTGAGAGAGGTAAAGAAATATCCTTAAATTTGACCTCATCTTGCTCTTTATCCTCTTGTACTTTTCTTATTTAATTTGCCCACTTTAGTGTTCAGCTCATGTCTCAAGTCTCTCTTTTTTTTGTCTGGATGAAGCAGATATTTTTAAAAGGCTTCTCCCTTGGTGCCTTCTTCGAGGATTCGACAGAAGGTTTGGTTTTCTACGTTTATTTTACAGAGGGCAGAACAAATGTTAAACTTTTCTTTAATTAAATGTTGTAACATCTTGTTCCTGATTAGTGCTTCCAGAAAATCAGCTCAACTGATTCCTTCAGGATCCAGCAGTAGTTCATAAACGTTAAAGTTTTTTTTTTTTTTTGCCTTTTACCTAATTTGTTCTCATAATCAACCTCTTTCTTCCTTTGTGGCACTGTTTTGGCTCAAGACATGTAAAAAAAATCCATGTCGCAAAATAAAATTAAGCATGACTGCAAACATCCTGAGACAGACTGAGGAACCATATCATAGGTTGAGAGTTTATTTTGACTAGCTCACAGAGCCAGTGCTCCCTCAGAGCTGGATTCATAGTAGAACCTGTCAGATTGAGGTAAATATGGACCAATGCCAAGATGGACTAGAGGACTGTATACTTTCTTCCGGCTATTGACATAGTGTCATGTTACTCTGAGCTGGGAAATATTGATTCTCTGCAGGTGCATTTCATCAAAATATGTCATATAATGCAAGGGAGAATTATTAAGACGTCAATAAAGATTAATTTCTTATCCCTCCTTAGTGAGTGAGGCAGCATTAGCATAAATATCGCTGTGCATTAACATTACTTAACCACGTGTCGGTCAGGAAGAAGATCAATGAAAAACATGATCACACATTTATAAAAAATCTACTTCCTTACAACCTCTTTGCACACTCCTCTTATTTCCATATCCAGATTCCTTTTAGTCTTTTCATAGACTCCATCTTCCCCCTTCCCCAATAAGAAACCTGCTAACACCCACGCACTCATGCATCAACTACTTTTTCATCATCTCCTCTGCCTCTTTAACTTCAGCCCAGCACAGCTAATTGGTCACGTCTGCACTGTGACATGGGGACCTGGCGTAATTGTTGGACAAATAGTGAGGCGTTTAGCTTCAGACCCGTCTGAAGCGAGCTGTACACAGACAGCGACTGACTGGAAAGCCTAATTACCACCTCAGCCTCACAACCTGCTAATTGGCTAACTCTTCCAACAAAGTAAAATGTGTATCTTTGTTTGTACGAGGGTTTGTTGGTGACTTTGTCCCCTAAATTAAAAGGGCTTGTGAAACAGGATACAATAAAATAAAATAGCAGCTCATGATGAATTACTGAACAGTCAACACACTGTGGTTTTAAAAATGGTCAGTTTGAGGGTAAAAAACAAAAGTTGATGTGGTTGTTATCCATCTGCTAATTAAACATGTTGGGTAGCTCCATCCAGACTTTCTTTTCAAGTAACCAAAAACACCCACACCATCTTTCCAGCACACGCTCTCGCTTGCAGACATGAATGAGCAGCTAAAACAAAAGTTGCACAGGATTTAATCTGCAATCATCCAAACTAAGCTCCCCCTACATCAAAAGTGGCTGAAATCCACCGATAAGCAAAAAAAAAACAAAAAAACAA